GGCTCCAGAAGGGCTGTTTCGCTGTGAACTGGTACCGGATGATGTTAGATGAGGCACATACCATCAAGAATCGGAACGCCAAGATGACAAAGGCCTGCTATGCTGTCAACTCTCATTATCGCTGGTGTCTGACTGGTACGCCAATGCAAAACAACATTGATGAACTGCAGAGTTTGATCAGATTCCTCCGTATCCAACCCTATTGCGCGCTGTCGTCGTGGAAGGACTCAATAGCAGGTCCTATGAAGAACGGTCGTGGTAATCTGGCTATGAAGCGTCTCCAAGTCTTTCTGCGAGCTTTCATGAAGCGCCGCACCAAGGATGTGCTTAGAAAGGAAGGTGCGCTCAACTTCGGTGGAAAGCCCAAGGAGGGCGAAGACAAGCCAGCCTTCCATATCGTTGCGCGAAATATCGAAAACGTCATAGGAGAGTTTACTGCAAAGGAGCGCATGTTCTATGATCGCCTGCGAGATCGTACACAAGCCCGTCTTGACGAGATGATGGGCGGTGAGAAGCAAGATTACATTGGAGCGTTGGTATTGCTTCTCCGGTTGCGACAGGCATGCGATCACCCCAACCTCACGAAGAGCAACGTCAGGGCTGATAAGGATGCTTTGACCACGGGCTCAAAGTCGAGCGCTACGGCTGGCTTTCAGACTCCACGAAAACCTTCTGCAAGAGACGATGCGGATGACCTCGCAGACTTGCTTGGCGGGCTCAGTGTTGCAACAAAGCGGTGCGATATTTGCCAAAACCACCTTAATAGCGACAATACCGCCGCTGGTGGAGTGCGTTGCATTGAATGTGAAGAGGACTTGAACATGTCTACAAAGAAGGACAAGAAAAAGCATCGTAAGCACAAGCACAAGCATGGCAAGGAAGAGAAGAAGCATCGTCGACCAAAACCCGTTGTGGAGTCTGATGATGATAACAAAGAAGAAGATGAGGAGGAAGAAGAGACTGAAGATGAGGATGAGAAGCCAAAGGCAGCTGCCGCAAAATCATCTCGCAATCGCCGACTCATCGTCGATAGTGACGATGAGGAGGAAGAAGAGGGCGAGTGGCTTGTCCCGGAAGATCAACGGCACGCCGAGGACTTGGGCAAGGCTGGTGGGACTGACGATGAGAACGCTGAAGGTGGGGGTGACACTTTGGCAACTGTCGACTCTGATGAATCTGAGAGTGTAGACGAGAGCAGAAGCAACCTCGATTCATTTATTGTCCACGATACGGACAGCGAAGACGAAGCACCTGTTTCGCGCAAGAAGCTAGCCAAGAGACCGCAGAAGCCTGTTGCAGTCGACTCTGATGACGAGGCTGACAGTGAAACCGAGAGCGAGAGCGGATCAGATGAGTCGGGATCCAGCTCTGGATCAGACGATGAAGAGGACGCATCTGACTCTGAAACATCAGAGTCTTCATACAATGCTTCCGAACTGACGCCATCTACCAAGATTCGCCAGCTCTTGGCCATTTTAGAGAAGGAGACGGGCGAGCACAAGGTCATTGTCTTCTCGCAGTTCACCTCGATGCTGGACCTGATTGAGCCTTTCCTCAACCGCGCTGGCTACAACTTCACCCGTTACGACGGCAGCATGCGCAACGATCTGCGCGAAGCAAGTCTCCAAAGGCTACGTGAAGACAAGCGCACACGCGTCTTGCTATGTAGTTTGAAATGCGGTAGTCTCGGTCTCAACCTCACAGCCGCAAGCCGCGTAGTCATTATGGAGCCCTTTTGGAACCCCGTACGTTATCCTCCCTTACCCTCTTTTCAAATTACAATATACTAACCTATTCCCCAACAGTTCGTAGAAGAACAGGCAATTGACCGTGTCCACCGCCTTAATCAAACCGTCGATGTTACTGTCTACCGCCTTAGCATCCACAACTCTGTCGAAGAACGCATCATCGAGCTCCAAGAAGCAAAACGCAAGCTCGCCGATGCCGCCATCGAAGGCGGCAAAGCTATCAAGAATCTCACCATGAAGGATATGATGGCGCTATTTAGCCGTGAGAGCGAGTTCGATGGCAGACATTATGATAATGATCAGGAGCAGGAAATGATTTATGGTGTCAGAAGGGTGCTGAATGCAGAAAATCAAACAGGTGAGGAGACTACGACTAGGAAGGCGAGGAAGGCGGGGAGTTTGGGATTTAAGAGGACGGAGAGGAGGGATGAGGGTGGGGCTTATGGACGGAGGTAAGGGAGGTGCGTGTAGAGATGGGTGTTTTGAGGTATTGGATGTGCTTAGGGTATTCCTTACTTGCCGCTTGGTGAGTATGACGATGGTTACGATTAGTCCCGTTTTGTAAAATATTGGGAGTTGGATTTTACTGTTCAAAATCAATCTGAATTTTCATTTTGTCACCCAGTTACGTGCATCCATCCATATGTCACGCAAAACCCCGCCGTGCCGCAAGTATTCTACAAATTTGACATTTTAATTAGTCCTGAGCTGCCTCAATCGTTTTCGCAGCAGACATTCTTGGTTATGCCCTCCCCACACCCACCCCGCACTAAGATACTCATGCTATCGTGTCGTATTTACAAATGCCACCTACCGACGATAACCCGCGCGATTTGCGTCAATTATCGGAATGCTATTCCGACCATAACTAATAAAAGCCTCAGCCAAGTGTTTAATCGCGCAGGGAAAAGATTTATCTAGGAGGTTCCCTGAAGAATGTGTTGGCCATATAGACTTAACTTCATGAATCACATCTAACGATTGAATGATAAATATTAATCATTGACGGTGAGGAGAACGATGGCAGGAAAAACTCTGGTTGAAAAGTGGTACGATGCCCACGCCAAAGCTGAGGAGCATCGCTTGGACGAAGGACGCCTGGAGTTTGAAGTGACCAAGCGGGTTATCAATTCCTGCTTGTCTACGTTGGGTTTGCGGCGAGCGAAGATCTTAGACATCGGTGGTGGACCCGGCAGATATGGTCTAACACGCCTATTACTCAACCACTTTGAATATCGTAGCTAACTGAAATACTACAGCCATCACACTAGCAAACCAAGGCCATCAAGTCACGCTTAACGATCTCTCAGAAAAGAACCTAGACATTGCACGAAAAAACGCAGAAAAAGAAGCCGTCCACCTCAACGCCATCATCCACGCAAACGCACTCGACATCCCCCAGCACCCCCTCCTCAAAACCTCCCATGCCTCCTTCGACATAGTCCTCTGTCTCGGCCCTTTATACCACCTCACCGCGCCCGCAGACCGAGCATGCGTGATACGAAATTGCATCGAAATGGCCAAACCCGGCGGCTACATCCTGCTCGCCTACGTAACAATCTACGCCCACCTCCGCGATCTAGCAGTGCGCGAACCCGCGCGTCTCGCGCGTGAGTGGCAGTTTTATAGCCAGTACTTGCAAAGTGGGGAGTACACTCGCAATCCGGCTACGGCGTCTTTTCATGTGCAGCCTGCGGGTTTGCTAGATGAGTTTGCAGCGTTCCGAGGCGAAGTGGGTATGGAGAGGGTGGTGGGTTGTGAGGGATTTCTGGGGTCGGGGGGTGCGAAGGGGTTTGCGGGTTTGAGTGAGGGGGAGATGGAGAGGTGGGTGGATGTTGTGATGTTGAGTGCGGAGCGGGTGGAGACGAGGGGTTGTGCGGATCATTTGGTTGTGGTTCTGCGTAAGGGGACTTGAGTTATTTTTTTAAGATCTTTGTTTTTCCAGGTCCTAGGGCCGATCGTCTTAATCTGGGTTGTGTATCTCGTGTGGCATGTAAGAATGATGATTGTACGCTTTCTCTCTCTCTCTGGTCGGGCCGTAGCCATTACCTGACAAATGACCCATTGTCAACTGTATGTGGTCTTCGCTTTGTGGAAAATTCCCCTTTATAAGTATCTCGGAGGCTAGATGGCATTATATTGCTTACTACTCACTGATAGAGTGACAAAGTCCTTCTTTATCAAGAGCGCCAAGAATGAGACCGATGTGCTGTCTATCAAGACCGACACGGCCACGACTCGGATCTATATGAGTTGCTGAATAGCCTTTATACGTACTTGTCCTCCGTATTCTCTATATACTCCGGAAAGTCGTCTTCATTGAGTCAAGACAATCCAGAAAGCTAGCCAGGATAGGTTGTCCTTGAAAGCGTCACATCACCCCTTGTGGAGAGACGAACGCATAGCTGCCAAGACGTGACAGTCCTTATCGTTAGCAATGAACACGTGCATATAACTCAGTGTAAAGGCCATATCAAGCCAGCCAACCAGATGGAGGATGTACAGGATGTCTACAATGGTTGTCCACTCCATCCTCAGAAGTGTCTCACCATGGCATGGTGGTCCGTGCCAAGCACCTGTCATCTCCGTGTTGGCAACACCACGGTATCTCCCGGACGGCACCACCAACCGTCTTGTGTAGCTTCCATCCAAGAGATCAACATACGGCATTATGGGAACCAATCATGCACAATGGCCTCTCTCGAATCAATGTGACTTCACCCACCTGCAAGCCTATGAACCCCGACAATAGAGACTGAACCTAGCGACCCCAAAATACCCCGCTATCAACTCAAGCTTTTCAGCGTCTTGGAAACATTGCCTCTGCCGCGGCCATTGATTCTGGCTAGCCCTGCAAGTGGGCTGTCAGCCATGCCATTAGAGCCCGTTTGTTCATGCGAAGAAACCAAACATGTTTCGAGCATATACTCCCCCACAGCGACCATCTAGGATCCCTAGAAGGAGATTACACTTCCTCCGGGCAGTCATCAAATCAGCAGCTTCGAAAAACGGTAACGCATAAAGTAGCCATTGCACAGCCTAGGACGTCATACATCTGCAGGTGGGGAAAGAGTTGCACCGTAGACCGTTAATCTCACGAAGCTTCTATATAGTCGATGGCATCATTTTCCAAATGTGCACTGCAGCGGCGCTTGCTCAGTCCCTCTTTCTGTCCCAGTGACATTCACTCTTTCAGTCTACATTCGTTCTTTTGATCTTGAAGGTCTTTCCATTCTTTCTCGGCTGGCCACGATGAAATCATTCGCTTCTCTTGTTGCTGGGTCCATTGCCTTACTTTCTTTTCTGAGCAGCACACACGCTGCATTCAACCACACTGATGGACCTTCTTGTGGCGCCCCAAAGCCAGATGACAGCTACTTCAGCGTTGTCGGAGTACAGGGGACCGGGGTGCATCCGCGCATGGAGCTCCGAGAGCTTCAGCAAGATGCTGAACTTTGGAACATGTTTATACTCGCATTTGCTCGGTTCCAGGCCATGGATCAATCTCAGAAGACTTCGTACTATGAGATTGCAGGTAAGAAATATCACAGCTCTAATAAGACTCCTCTTTTCTGAACATTTCAAGGGATACATGGAGTACCTTTTGGGCAGTGGGATAACGTTAAAGGTATCCCTGGCCAAGAGAAGATGGGCTACTGCCCCCATTCATCTAACATCTTTGGCACATGGCACCGCCCGTACCTCGCACTGTTTGAGCAGATTCTCCACGACCGCGCAGTCGACGTTGCCAAAGAGTACCCTATCGGCCAGGCTCGTAACAAAGCTTTGAAGATCGCGGCTCGAGTACGCCTTCCATTCTGGGACTGGGCGAGAAAGCCGTTGAAATCAGATGAAGGTGTGATTCCGGCGACTTTGCGAGTTCCATGCCTTTCAGTCACACATCCGAATGGGACTGTGGGAGAAATCCCGAATCCCCTCTTCCGATACGATTTCAATCCTGTGCCCCAAAAGGTCTTTGCTGAACTGGTATGTGATCTTACTACTCTACTTAAACAACGGGTAGAAACTATCTCGTAAATACGTACAAAGTACTAACGCTGTTCCAGGTCGAGTATGAATTCAAGGAGTGGAATCATACTCTTCGCTATCCGCTCAACCCTTACTTCGCCAATGCCACTAGTCGTGACGATGATGTCAACGTGGTAATAGGCAAGCAGCAGGATAGTATTCGTGATACTGTCTATAAGCTGCTCACGACCTACCAAACCTATAACCAAGTGAGCAACAGGGCCAATGGTGGTAGTATTGGCAACTTTGAAAGCGTTCATGACGGTGTACACAACGTGTTTGGACTCGGACACATGGGAATTATAGAAGTGTCTGCATTTGATCCTGTCTTTTGGTTCCATCACTGGTATGTCACATTACTCGGAGAAAACAAAAGCTCATTCTGACAAAGTCCAGCAACGTTGATCGGCTTCTGGCGCTGTTCCAGGCTCGCTACCCTGATACCTATGTCGAAGATTCCAAACAAGATCGAGGAACGTTTGCTATTGCCAGAGGCAGTGTTATAGGGGCAGCCTCCACTCTGCCACCATTCCACATGAATGCTCTGGGCGACATGTGGACGTCTACCACGTCACGCGACTGGACTGCCTTTGGCTACACTTATCCCGAGCTTGTTGGTAACCCAAGCAATGAGACACTTACTTCTACTATCAACCAGTTGTACAAGCCACAGACACCCGCTCTGCCAATCAGCAACTCAACCCAACCAGGAAACACAACCTTGCCAGCTCCAGTGGGCAAGAATGCTACCATACCAGCTATCGATTGGTCTTGCGAGGTTAACATGCCAGCCAATATCCACATCTCGTACTCCGTCCGCGCCTTCCTTGGTGAACCAAGTTCCAACCCAACCGACTGGCCAACCGACGACAACTGCATCGGCCAACTCGCTGCAATGTCCTCTCCTCGCTCCAACTCCGCTCTCACCGTAGCCGGCAACATCGGGCTTTCCGACGCCCTAATGCGTAAGCACAAATCCGGGAAACTCAAAGACCTCAAGAAAGAAACAGTCGAAGCCTATCTCAAAGAAAACTTCAGCTGGCGCATCCAAGCCCTCGACCTTACCGAAATCCCACGCAACAAGCCCCCTCCAGGCCTCAACGTCACCATCCGCAACGTCGCAGTCAGTATCCCTAAATCAGACACCCAAGTCCCCATCTCGCACGGCAACGTGCAGTACAATACGGATATCAGTGGAAACCCTCCTGTGTACAATGGACCGGGCCCCGATGGCACGAATACGACACTACCCGATCACCAGATGACGGGCCAGTACGACGCCATTGCCGGGAAATTTGTATGGAAAAATGCGACTCTGGTATCCGAGATTGAGAATTCAGATGTGCCAAGGCAGATGCCCGAGAATGTGCTGTTGAAGCCGATTAGTGTGCCAGTAGGGAACAACGGGACTTCTGCTACGTCGGCACCGGTGGCTTCGTCGGTTGTAGCATCTGTGCCTACATCCTCTTTGTCTGTGTCGTCTGCGGCTTCTTCTTCCGTCAAGAAGTCTGCAGCGGTATCGTCTTCTTCACCCACATCATCCACTCACACGTCAATCGCTACATCCCCAACTGCACCTAAACCCTCTCCAGCCCCTACAGCCCCTGCGGCCCCTGCAGACCCCCAGACAACAGTCGTCACATCCGTCATCATCGAGTATGTGACTGTATGATAGATACTTGCAACCCGCCAAGTCTCTTCCGTTCTTTCTGCCAGAGTAGCACATTCCCCTCTTTTTTTCCAAACAACAGTGCATCGTCGCACTATTCACGCTCTTTTCTATCTTGCTGTATATAACACACATTCGTTTCGATCGCGTACGTAAGAGTTCAGTACCGGTTCTTGGTAACTGGACATTCATACGCAGTACCCTCGTTTTCTCCATGACGACTATGAGAAATGGAACAAAGTCCACTCGCTTTAAATATCTGTCTTTTTTTCTCTTTTGAGATATTGTCTGCCTAGTGAATGTGTGAAGTCTCAAATGTACTTGGCCAGTGATGAAACCGACCATGGTCACCGATAGATACTGATTGGAAAGAACCATTATAACCATGATTTTGAATTTTTATTCTTGGTATAATATCCCCTCCCAACGCCGCTTCAATTGCCATTGCCTGCCAAGTATGCAATCCATAACGCTGTTCGTACACGTGCCTTTTCCCTCTGCTTTCTTCCTTCACAACTTCTTGTACACACATGCCCTGCAACCCCTTAATCCCGTGCATGCATCTAGATAAGATGCTTGCTCCTGAAATAAGCCCTGAGGTAAATAATCTGCCACGCACCCAGTCCGACCAGCATGCCCATGGTGCCAACAGCAAACCACTTGACTCTCTCATTGGTACTCTCATTCGTATCCCTAAGCCTCTGCTCACGCCACCTCAAGTAATCCATTTCCCGGACAATCTCGCCGACGACCTCTTCGATCCTACGCAGTTCGGCTTCGACGGGCTTGAGCTTCTCGCTGGCGGAGATGGCGTTCCAGTCCTTTGCGTCGGCACCAATGTCAATGTCGAGTTCGACATGGCGGGGCTTGATCGACTTGGACGACGAGGCAGATGTGAAGATGTTGGCGAAGCAGACGTCGAAGACCGAGTCGGCGTGCGAGGTGAATGCGTAGCGGTTCTCGCCTACTACGTCCTTGGGGCGGTGGTAGTCGTTGCCCATTGCGTCGCGGATCTAGAAGATTTTCTCGTTAGCAAATCATTCCCATCGGTAGAATGGGCGTATAGATATCATGGGGAATGCAATTGTGTCCGCATATCGTGCCTGGATTCAAGAAAAAACATACATGCATATCAACCCTCTGGCCATCTCCCCTGTACCCATCCAGTATCGCCGTGACAACCACCAACTGCTCCTTTGCAACAAAATTCCTAATGCATCGCTCGTATCGGGCAGATTCGCGTTCAGCCACTGGATGAAGGTCGAATTTGAGGGCCGCTGTGAGAGGGAGAAGGGTGAGCAGCAGGTAGCTGACGAGGCGTGCTAACCGGTCCATTGTTGAATTGGTTGGGGGTCCTGGGATTTGTTGAGAGCTGCAGCGCTTGCAAGCCCGACGTTTTGTTGTGCCTCTCTCACTCTCTCTGTGAAAGGGCGCTCGTGGAATTGTACAGCTGTCGCAAGGGGAGCGCGGAAGGACAGATAGTCCGATTGTAAACTAGAGCCGATGCGGGTAAAGGCGCTGGTGGGGCCCATGCACCCTGATTGTAGTACCCTCGACATCGACAACACGTGGAGACTGCTACACCATGGTACAAAGTACGACAAGAAACAAATTCCGTGTTACATCAAGACTGATGATACACCACCAACCATACAAACCCCAGAATAATCGCAGAAAAACGCTCAAAATGCTCAAGGCCAACAAACTAACCCCATCCTCTCACCAAGCAGTCGTTCCCCCATCAATCTTCAAATCATGTCCCGTCATATAACTACTCGCACCACTCAACATAAACAATCCCACCGCCTTATACTCCTCGGGCTTACTCAACCGTCCTAGCATACTATTATTCTCCCACTCCCTGGGATCCGCCTCGCCCGCATCGAAATTCGCCTGAACCATCGGCGTAACAATATGCCCCGGGCTCAGCGAATTGACTCGAATGCCCCCAGACCCGTCTTCGTTCTTCCTGCCCCACTCCATGGCCAAGTTGCGTGCTAGTTGGACGACAGCTGCTTTTGAAGAGTTGTACACGGAGGCGAGGAAACCCCGGTTTGCGATTGTGCCGCTCATGGATGCGACGAGGCAGATTGAACCTTGGATTTTGTAGCGCAGCATTTGGCGGGCGCATTCGCGGGCAGTGAGGAAGACGCCGGTGAAGTTCACGTCGAGCATTTTTGCAATGTCTTCTTTGCGGAAGTCGAGCGCGGGGGTGACTTGTTGGACTGCTGCGGCTGTGGAACGAGTTAGTTGGTTTGTGGTGATTGCTGGAAATAGGTGTTGTCCTACCTGCGATGAGACCATCTAGTCTTTGTTTTTGATCTGCGATATCTTGGATACATTTTTGAATGGCTTCGTCGTGAGTAACGTCAACGGTGTGGTATTCCAAACCTGCATCATTGGAACTGTTCGCTCGTGCTTGCGCTTCTTGAAATGCTTTGGAAGGCTCTGGTAATCGATCGAGACAGTGGACTCTGCCACCGGCTTCTACGAGACCTTCTGCCATACATAGTCCTAGGCCGTCACCTCCGCCTGTCGGAATCTTAGCATTAACCCGAAATGCACAGCGTCTCTATAGACTGAACGGAATTTTGTACCTGAAACGACGAAGACTTTTCCAGAAAGATCGAAAGGGCCAAGTCTCTTCTCTCCTCCATTCTCAGCCTTGTTGCGTTGAACTCGAGGTAGACCCGCATCCAAACTCGACGCAAACGTCCTGCGCTGAAGAGACGCTGTAATTGGCCGTATGCGGAATGCAGGCGGAACCGGACGCGCAAAGCGGCACATCAACATATTCGAAGTGCGAAGAACAGCCATTACTCGTTTGAGGAATAATTAAGATAGATATCGTAGTATAGCAAAAATATACAAAGTAAGGATACAAGGCCACTACAACGACCCAAAACCAGGGCCGCCAGGAGTCTATGTAGGAGTACCATCTCACGACAATTACAACATGATGTAATAGCACCTTCATACGCGTCCCCCATTTCCCCTTGGCCTCGTAAACTCAAAAAAAAGACATCGTGCCTTGCGACCGCGGGCGATCCCAAAGGGTACGTACTCATACTATTCCCATTTCCCACCCAACCCTTGCCGGGCGCATGGGTCCAGTCCTGCCCCTCCAATTGGCAAAAAGACCACTCCAAACTAACCGAAATCCCGCGCAAGCCCGCTGCACGCTTTATTTCATGCAAGAAATCTTGCTTCGTTAACGTTGGATTGCGGCGTAGTTGGTTCCAGGGCGGGGGGATCCTAGATGGCCCGAAAATTGCGGGGGTTGGAGGAGCCGCAGAACAAGGGGATTTGTGGGGTGCGCGCGTGTGTGATTGGATGGAAGGGGGGGTTTTTGTGCTACGACAGGTCGACATCATTGTGATTTAACATGGCATTTTTGAAGCATTTGTTCATGCGAAATTGGGGGATTTGCCCATCGTAGGGTAGATGTAATTGTTGTGTCGGTGTGGAGTACGTACCTGCGGGATTCGCGTTAGGCTTCCGCGGCGTTCCATGTTTAGGTGGATTTTGCGTTATGTTGACGATATTGGAAGGGGGAGTGCGAAACAAGAAAAATTGTTCTGGGAAATGGTTTTTTTATGATGCTCTGCTCGTATAACGCTCGCCAGCAGTGGCAGCTATTCGTAACCTGACGAATTTTGGAAGTTGGTAAGAGATGTCCGGCATGGAGTAATACACTGCGATCTTCAATCAGCAATGGCATTGTCCTGAATAGTCACAGGTAACACAAAACTAGACTCGCATCAATTGGATACTCCACCACTTTATCTCCTCAACTCCCCATGCTCCGCCTCGGCCCCATCTTTGTCATACACATCCACCCCCACCATATCCTCATCACTCTTCATCATCTCTCCAACCGAAAGCACCTGCTTCCTCTTCTCACTCATCTTATACAAATACTGCATAATCAGGAACGTAGCCCAGCACCCAACAATAAAGCAAATATTAACCGCATACCCCTTCTTCCATCTCGGGCCTTCAACAATCGGAAATACCGTAATGGGATAAAATGAAAACACCGCCCATCCGGCCGTCAGCATCGCACCTACGGTCACCGCACGTGCCTCAGCATCATCGCGCAGTGCCATGTTGATGAAAGGCATGAGTATAGGCGTTATTGCTGCTGATACGCCGAGAAGGTAATAGCAGGCAAAGTGATAGCCCTTAGGTATGTTCCAAACCAACAGGGAGATGTTCGCTATGATGTAAATGGTTTGGACGATGGAGAAGATGGACCAGAGCGGGTACACCATGCAGAGCGAAGTTGCAAGTAGAGCGGCGAACACAGAGACACCCTGAGCACCGGTAGGGATGGTGTTGATCTGCGGCACAGTATATGCGCCTGGATGCTTTGCCGTGAGATCTTTAAGCCAGATGGCCATCTGTCCATGGGGGTAGGACGAAGACAAGAAACTGGTTCTGGGTGTTAGTGGGGATGGAGCCTGCTGCAGATGATATGGAGACATACAAGGTGTAGCAGAGGATGCCCATGTAGAATTCCCAGCGCGTGAATGTGCGCTTTGCCACGGTCCAGCTTAGCTCTTTGCTAGGCGACACACCTGCGTTGACCATACGAGACCGTGCTAATTCGTGCTCTTTAGGCGTGAGCCACCATGGCTTCTTGCTACTTGGAAGACCGGGGAAAATAAAGTACCCGGCTAGAGCGATGGGTAGGGAAATCACCCCGTCGATGATGAAGAGCCAGCGCCATCCTGCCATGCCACGAACCCTACGATACGTCAGAATGTTAGATCTTTTTGGAAGTTCATAATCACGGTTACCTACCCGTTCAAATTCTTGTAGGCCGCGGCTTGCAGGTAACCACCAAACATAACGGCAATGTTATTAGAGACAAACCAGACTCCAGTGCGCTTAAACACCTCTTCAGGCCTGTACCAAGAACCCAAAACGTACGTCGTACCGGATGCCACGGGAGTTTCGAGTAGACCAAGTAAGAAGCGAGTGCCATATATATCGTTTCTGCTCCGCATCTGACTCTGGCAAAAAGTCACAATTGACCAGAGTACTTCCATGGTGGGCAAATAGTACTTTGCGACTCTCGGTCTGGAAAGGAGCAGCAAAGAAGGGACCTGGAAGACAAGGTACCCCACGTTGTAGAAAGTGTCGAAGAGCGAGTACTCGTTTCCATACAGCTCGAGCTCTTCTTTCATACCGGAAACGTAGGCGTTTTTGATGTTTGACGAGTCGAGCCATTTCAGGAAGACTGCGGGTGTCGGCTCTTAGTTTGGGTTGGGAAATATTCTCAGAGAGTTACATACACATGAAGGAGCAGAACGTCAAGAGGCATGCGTCCATCTTCCTCAGAAGTTTCCTCTCTTCTGGCGAATAATGCTTAGGATACCATTCCCAAAGGTACATCCACGCCTTCCATGGCGACCTCTTGGGTGCCTCGGCTGGCGCGATGACACTAGTGTCGAATTCGTCTGTCCTGTCGGCGACGCCAGTAGTCTCTCTCCTAGGCTGCGTATCCGCCATTATTGTCGTTGTGTCGCCGTTGTTGTTGTTATGGGTGAGGTCAATATACCTCGGCGTGACTTCGGGGATATGGGTTGCAAAAAAGACGGGGCCCTTGTGAGATGAGATGCAAACATTGGCTCGTACCCCAGAATTTCGTCTAATAAATAGCTCCCGCTGTTGTGGACAAAGACTCGGGAATTGAGTGGGGGATCTGGGGGATCTGGGAAAACGGGCACCGGGTAATTCCTGTTTTTGGATGGCTGCCGCGGGGATGGGTCCTTCGTATACGGCTATCTCACATCTGCTGCCGAAGACGGGAACACCCTTGCGTCAGGCGGCCACCAGCTGTGGAGAGGCTGACATTACGACGGATAAAGTGTGGAGTAGCGAATTGAAGCTCAGACTGTTATGTGAGGAGGCTGCTTGGCGAGCGTGGTATCAAGGTAGCGTACGTTTTTACGGAAGGGCTAGGTCCCTCGGCCCGTTGTTCGCCTAAATTCACTGGAGGAAAATTTTGATACGAGATGCTATGTGAAGAAACTGTGCATCGTACATGATGCATACTGCATCCTTCTTTGTCTGCTGTACCATTGATAAAGAAGCTGGCATGCGTGCATGACGCCATACAGGCACTAGCGACATCGAGGATTCACGTAGGATAAGATTCCTCTTGGAAGTTCGGCGTCATCTCAATCCCTTTCTTCACATCACGTCACTAGGTTAAAATCATGAAAGGAATTTATTGAGACATAGGTATTTCTTACTGAACCGCGTTATTCTACCTCATGTAGGATCGACCAGAAGTATACCAACGTGGTTCAACATACCATCTCCTA